ACCTCCTCTTTGGGAGTCTCTTCGGGCTCATCCTTTACCTCCTCTTTGGGAGTCTCTTCGGGCTCATCCTTTACCTCCTCTTTGGGAGTCTCTTCGGGCTCATCCTTTACCTCCTCTTCAGGTTCTTCTACCTCAGGTTTTTCAGGTGTGTCCTCTTTTTCCTCGTCCTGTGATTCATCATTTTGTTCCTCATCTTTTGGAGTATCTTCATCCTCCTCAGGTTGATCCTCTTCATCTTCTTCCTTCTCTGGGGATTCTTCATCCTCTTCATCCTCTTCAGGAGTGTCTTCGACCTCAGGAGTGTCTTCGTCATCAGGAGTGGCGGGAGCCTCCTCAGGTTGATCCTCTTCATCTTCTTCCTTCTCTGGGGATTCTTCTTCATTCTCTTCAGGAGTGTCTTCGTCCTCATGAGTGTCTTCGTCCTCATGAGTGTCTTCGTCAGGAGTGGCGGGAGCCTCTTCAAGATCTTGTTCCTCAGGTTGATCTTCTGGATGAGAGAAAGAGAAAAATAGAACATTTATTAAGAAAAAAATGAAAAGTCAAAAGAAAGTGTTAAGTCCGAGTGTTCTTCAATTGTCATTTTAATACTTCCTTTTTACTAAAATACAAATATTCTATTTCTATATGATTCTATATTATACATGTGCTTTGCAATTACGAGTATAAAAATACTTAATCAAGTGTCCGATTATRTTGGAAGGTTTTCTTTTAGGCGAATGCATTTGAAGMGAACTTATCATACGTCTCTTAATTATCCAGCTTCCCAAAATGAAATAATAAGTCAAACAGTATGATCTTATTATGTTTATTCTATATTGCCTAGAGGCGTCTCCTGGTTGCTAGGCGAACAATGTCATCCACAGGAATCCAATTTCGTTACGAAATTCCGTTGTGTGCAAGCAGCCATATCGATCTTTATATTCAAATCATCCTTACATAGATGTTATTAAATGTGGACAATTTTCCTCCTAAATTTTGTTCATTTTTCTCAAAAACGAACATTTCTTAAGATCAAATAGAAAAGTGTTAATTTGATCACGAGATGTTTTAATTGAATAAAGCGTTTGTTGTGATTAATGTGCAGGTGTCTGTATTGTGTTAGTCAATGTTTATTCTTCAATCCTAGATATGGTTGATATTATTTCTAGTTCTTTTTCTTCTTGTTTAGTTGCTTCCTAACGGGAAAATATAGTCTATAAATATGCAGTCTTGCTTTGATGCACTGGTGATTCTGTAAAAATTAAATCACTCTCACGTACACGAAATCTCTCAGTGTTTAACAAATATTACCATAACAGTGTTCAAATACAAAATATCTAATTATGATCCACGTATTCACATGAATTTATTTCGGTTTAAAAATTTTGCTTTCTGTGTTTTTGTCCTATAAAGAGAAAGCGGAATATTGATCCAAGTGCTCGGGTTCAGCAGCCATGGACTTAACCTCGAATTGTCCAATCAGATATCGTGTTTAAGAGGCAATTTGATTTCTCTTATAGTTGCTAGAGGAACCGACAGGATAATTGACGTATAGTTGTGACCCTCCTACATTACTTATATTAAGTCAACCTGAAAACGGTGTTCAAAATATTATTGATCAATGCTACAATTGTAATTTACGTGAAGAATTATAACCGCAAATAAACGTTATATTTGATTCGTTTGTGGGCATAACTTTCTTGTGGCTCTTCAGCGAACTTTATTACTATCCCTCAGCTATTTTACATTTCTGGTCATGGGCTTACTCAACAGTACTTAATTCTATGATTTTATAAGCTCCTTTTAAGGTGAAATGAAATCACAAAATTGGTTTAGTGAAAGTGATTTTAATCAAATATTATACGTCCTCGGTCAAGAGAAATTGAGATGGCTTCTTAAGCGGAGTGAGTACTAGGCAAATATTTCCAGTTTAAACAAGTATTTTCCTGTTTCATGCAGAACTAGTTCATCAAAGTGAAACTCGATGTATTTATTTTAGAACATTTTTCTATTCAGCCGAAGGGATGTTGACAAAGAATACTGTGTGTTTTGTCTTATTTACTTTAAATTATTGCTGTGGAAAGTTCGAAAAGTGTTGGGTTAGATACCTTCCTTGGGTTCGTCTTCACTCTCGTCCTCTTCATCAGGGACATCTTCTTGTTCTAAATAAAATACACCACGAAATTATAGAAAATGTCATGAAACAACATAGTACATATTATGTATACTAACCTGTGGCCTCGTCCTTCTGTTCTTGAGGATGATCTTGTTCTGGAGCCTCTAGTTTAACATTTTCGTCAACCAGTTTAGCCAATGGCAAGCCATGAGTGAACATGACCATGCAAACAAGAAGGGCAATTGTCAGCTTAAACATTTTGATTTTAAAATGTTCTTGAACGAAGTTCAAATCAAGAGTTTGTTAACACTAGTTCTCGGTTTGTGGTCCGTGTGGTAAACCAGAGTAGAATGACGTGTGTCTAGATTGTCTTGGGTATTGCTATACTTCAGTAATTATACCTCCCCGTGGAGCAGTGATATGATTGGCCTGGACCAATCAAATTTCTCCTAATTTCACTTCTTCGCCTGTCAATCAAACTAATTGATCACGTGAATTGTTCTTTCACATTTTGTCGTCATGTGTATAATCACTAGATTTTGGTAATCGAGAAAATGCTGAGAGCATTCTGATATCAATGTAATCTCATAATTTATTTGTTATTGACCGCATTATTAGGCATGATTAGCCTGTTTCGATCAGAAAATAATTGAAGTAACGTGAATTTATTAAAGTGGAGTTAACAGTTTGTTTCAGTGTGATCTAACTTCCCTTTGCATAAGTCGGTTTGTGATGGATTTGTAAAAAGGCTACGAATTGATACATCTATTAATCAGAGATAAAAGTAACACTTTTCGTTTATGATTATTGACTAATTCGCGATTTCTTCTCATTGTTTCACGGGTTAATTGTCATAATCGTTATTTTTGGTATAATCGTGCAATGGGCTTTATATTTAATTTGTGGAATACATACAATCAGTCCAAAAGAAATAAAACTGATATAATTTATGCAAAGACATATACGTTTGAAACCGGAATTTCATTACTAATCAAAATTTCACTTTCACAATTTGGATAAAAAAAACATGCTGTCAATGAACTGTTTGAAACAGCGAATTAAAGAAAAGAAAAAACGATATTAATCTGGCAATAGAGATTTCTTTGTAAAATAAATGACAATTCATTTGGGTCTACAATTGAGTGGATACGACTCTAATTATGATAACTTCCCACTAAGCAGAATAAGAGATGTGAAGCTTGTGAAATCTCTGGAGCTATTGAAAACAGCTTCTCAGTTGAAGTAAAGTCCAGGATCTTTATTTATAGGGCAGAACTACTTATAGTTTAAACATTTCGTGACATTTCTTTTTAGCGATGGATTAATTTATTGTTAGGTGTTATTCACTCTTTTTCACTAATTTACAGATAGGTTTGGCTTTTTGGCCCTTCTTTTTCAATTGAAAGTGAACAATGTCCAGATATTGTTTATTAATTGACAGTTTTTGCTTGAATATTCAATGTTCTGTAGACTGCCTGCTTGATGTTCAAGACGGAAAATATGCAAATATGGCTATTATGACTACTGCGCTTCAAAAAGCATATAAATTCACTTATTTGCTTGGAAAATATGATAAAACAATATGTTGATATCTGAAAACCAATATTTTCAATTCCATGTAAGTTCTCTAATAGTATTAATCTAAGTGTATTATAACATTTTTAGGTTTTGAATGGATAAGAACCTTACGGCTTTTGATTTACATTGACGTTTAARCACGTATTTTCTTGTGAACGATATTTGCATAGTGAAGATTGGTCTCCCTGTGTAATCTAATTTAGTTGCGCTGTTTACAGAGTTAGCGGAGGAGGACTGTCCTCCTCTACTGACTTCCAGTGGTACCCATTCTTCTCTCTATGGTCCATAATTCGTTGCTACTTTTACTGGTCACTTTTCTCGCTATTGCTCGTTAAAAGCGACAATTTTTGGAGACAAAAACAGTGGTTTCCTATAAATTTGTGGATTTGACAGAAAAGAGATAAACTACTACATAGTAGCATTTACCTCAATTCAATTAGTAGAAACTCAGCATTAAAAACGAGAAAAATGCTTGAGTGAAGTCATTACAAACGAGAAAAATGCTTGAGTGGAGGCATTACAGTAAAGCCGTGAAACAAACACGTGAATCAGTAGTCAAACACACCTTTAAAGGTTTCTTCATCAAAGCTACAAACGAGCATAGGGAAGCAAATATCAGAGTCATTTTCATCCGTCTGCATGTGAAACAATTACTACTAGTTAGTGTTTAATAGTAACTATTAGGGTGTAGTAGGCTASCAAAAGGCAAAATCAAAACCGTTTTTGCCTAATTATAGTTTGTTGCATGTCATAAGTTAGACTATTGTCAGCTAATAGGGGATAATAGTATTTAATAGTACAATTCCTATTTCACAGACGGATGAAAATGACTCTATTTGGAGCTAATAGGGGATAATAGTATTTAATAGTACAATTCCTATTTCACAGACGGATGAAAATTACTCTACCAGTATAACAGTAACTCGTATTGACAAAATCCCTTTCACTCGAAACGTTTTTCACATTTGGACCCGTTTTACTATTAAAAGTAGACATAAAAGCCGATTCAATGTACTATTGTCGGTGTATTAGTGTAATATCTATTTCACGTGTTTTTTTGTCTTCACTCTAAAAAAATAATTGTAGAATAGACAATACAAAACAAAGAAATTCGGATAATTTAACAGTTTTTTTACTCAGGTTTTAATGGCTTTAGAGTAGTGACATAAAAAAACCCGCGAAATAGATATTACACTAATTGCTTTGTTTTCCTTTGTGTCTATTTGACTATCACACTTTAATAGTTGTGTAAAAAGATAAATTTAACACCGTAAAAAAGTAGAGCGATTACCGAAGGATTAACGTCCGAAACGTCAGTAAGTTATTTCACCTACTTTTTTACAAAAAATTATTTTTTTTACACAACTGTTTCTTTAGAAACATCGACGCAGCTCACACTAGTTTACCGCTAGTTCCCACCATTCACACTTTAATAGTCAAATTTTATTTCCACTTTATTTCATGGCTTTAGAGTTTGCAGTGTATTGTTGTTTAACACAATTCTGGATGTGTCTGGTTGCTAGGAGACATAAATTTTCTATTCAGGGATTTCAACGTTTTCTAACCGTTTAACGAATTACAACCAAATACAAAACATATATCCAACATGTCCGGGTTTCTAGGTAATGTTACCTTATTCTGTATATTGTTTTGACTGTAAAATCTTAAAGCTCCACACGCATCCGAGCCCTGAACATTTTCGAACGCCTGTTTGACAAATAAAATGCTATTTAAAGCATAGTTAATAGAGGGGAATGGTTTTGAAACCTATTGTTGTACTTTTTTTTGTACTTATTTTGTTGATTTATTTTGAGCTCTTGAATCAGTCATGACCGTGCARAACTTTTTTCTTAGGTGCGATGGAAATTGCAAAATGACTAAAGATAAACACTCTCTATGAGATTATGAAATGAAATATTTCAATATTGGTTAAACGTTTTTGTGCATTTTGAAGAAATAGCCAGCAAAAGAATAATTTCCGCTCTGTTCATTTAGACGTGACCAGTATAGCTAGAACATATAGCCCATTGTGCTCTGTCACTGTCAAATGCACAAGAAAATACAACATAAGGCTTCCTAACCATTTTCCTCTACAATCTATGTTTGAAGTTGCTTTCTGATTGGTTCAAAAACAGAGATGCGGTAAAAATCAGCTCAAAGGTTCTGAGATGTTGGGTCTTTGATTGTATCATAGCCTACAGATTTGAGATTTTTACAGTTTTCATGGAGTCTTGCCGGAGGGTGGAGAGAAACACAAGACCCGCAGTGTTTGAATCAAGTCTAAATCGAAGGTTAATTTCATTATTTYATTTTTTTATTTCAAAGTCGGTTAGTCTGAGATTGATTTCATCATTTCAAAATAGTACGTTATATGACCAGCAGTTCATCATCTTTGCCTTCGACATCACGGTGGTTCATCGAAAACAATCGATGAGTTTTCCGCGAGAAAATTGCACAGAGGATCAAAGACAATGAACAACATGGGACAATCGATAATAGCGCGGGAAAAGGTTGATTTGTATTCACACGACTCAATAATGCGATAGCTAATCCATAACTAGATACAGTTAGTAAAAGACATTTAAACGATTTGAAAAAAGACATGGAAAAATTTGAAATGAGAGCACCAATCACAATGTCGCCTGTTCCAAGAAACACGTGGGTCGCAGTATCACCAAACTGTACCGTAAAGACTGCTGGAAGCTGCCAAGCATCGTTCATCTCGAATAACTTACATAAAAGACTGTTACACTCTGTTATGCTAAACAACTGCGGCGTGTTACCCATACTACCCAACAAGAAGACGTCGTAAAAAAACGCTGTCCACAGAAAAATCTGTAAGAAGGCAAAGTTTCTAAACTGGATGTGGCTCGCCAAGACAGCAAACATAGCAACGATGATGTTGTTTATTATCCATCGAAAGGCAGTTTTGGCAGAAGCCATCCACAAGAGAACAAAGAAGCTACCCGCAATGTAGCCACTTTTACCCGGTATCCACTGATTGAATGCAATAATGAGAATTCCTACAACGGCGATATGCTGTAAACCAATCATTATCGCAGGCAGATATTGTAGCATTGATACAGTTAAGGCCATTGTAGTAAAATATGAGAAGTTTAAAACTAAATACCATGGTAGATTTAACCTCTTAGCGTCAATCAATTCCTTTTGTTCATTACGGGGACCGCTGAACGGTGGAACAGTCTCTTGTAATGATGTTTTACCGCTGTTCTCTTCTTCTCGCTTTTTGTGACCGTAAAATGCACTCAAAAGTGTTAAACCACTCACAGCGATGTCCATTATCCAAAAGTTGTACATACTCATGATATAAAGAGTCGTTCTTTTGTCGTTGAGTTTCTCCTCTCATTCAAGGTCCCGTCCTATCGGACAAATGACCAATGTATACTGTGCTAGTGTTTACCACCTGTTTGCTTTGACATCAATCACTGATTGTTAATAATTCATTAATATTTATATGTGAAAGTCATCATATGGCTTAAGGTCAATCTCAAGGGGAAATCTGCTTGGTACTGGACGGCTGTATGAGTTGCCGGTATAAAGCGACAGCTAAACAAAGAGAATTGTGGTTCTTATTAGAGGTAATTTTCAGCGTGACATCAAAGCAGGTTTGAAACTATAGCAACCAGCAACGAATTCAAAAACATGCATGTATGTTCAGCCACGAGTTGACACCAATTCAGCTTTTTCATTTTTAATATTTTCGTTTAAATTGCTATAAATTGTATTCATTTTTTCTTGTGAATTATGTTGTCCAGACAATTGTATTTCAAAAAACTGAACTCTACATCACATGCACGATAATAATAATAATAATAATAAACAACAAATAGTACTGCAAACTTTAATTGTGTATATCAGTATTGAATCAGATGTTGAATTGTACTATTAAGAATTTAAAACTAAATGAAATTTTGCAGAAAAGTCAGATACGCGGATCGTTTGCGGTACTAGTCTTAGTCTCAATCGATATAGGGAAAACGGCTTGAAAATACGCAAAGAAAAATTTCTTATCTCCTCTCCCTCTATCTTAAAACCACTGCATGACGACATCGGCACGGAGAAATTGTGGGGTCCGTATAAATGAACAACCCAAAGCTGATCACGCTATTTTCCCTGACGGTTTTCCACACGAGGAGGCCGCCCTTTTACGAAGGCTCCTTTATTAGAGGTGAGAGGAGGCTCTTTAATAGGTGARAGGAAAGAGGCTTGCCGGAACTTGATCAGCAGTGCCGAGTTGTACGGGCGCCCTTCCGGCCTGTTAGAGTACCAACTACCCATAATAAACACTGGCCAAACTGTCATATATGCAGAGAGATTTCGAAAAAGCTTTGTAACTAATAAGACTGACATGATGCAAGGATTCAATATATGATAAATTGTTTGATTAATTCGATTAATATAATTAGAAATGCTGTGTAGAAAAGACTAGAAAATTAGTGGGCAACCCCCGACAATAAACCCTTTTAGCGATCTCTTTTACGATCTCTTTTACGATCTCTTTTACGATCTCTTTTAGCGATCTCTTTTTTAGCCTCAAAACCATGTATAAATTATTTCAGTAACAGTCCGTGCAAATGCAAGAGATCCATGAGTATAGAAGACAATGGATATAGTTTGAAATCTCAGGGATTATCTAAATCTAAATATTTTGCACGCAATTGAGGCTAACACAGCGTAAAGATCGCGAAACTCAATTATTAAGAACCTGTTCAAAATTATYATATTCTAACCCCTTCTCTTTGAATCTATCAGTGGAGTTGCTGTAAACTTATTAAGAACCTTTGCATTAAGTACCATTTAAGAAACAGTACTCTAGCCAAAGAAAAAAAATCACGGGTTCCTACCTGTGGGCTATTAGTCATTTGAAAACAACACCAGCTTTTAAAATATGATAATGAGGCGCAAAGAAATATCTGCAATACAAATGAGGTATCAGTTTTCGAGACGTGGAATAAAAAAGAAGTTTTTTTTTGTCTACAAATCAAATTATGCGAAAGATCTCTGATCACACTACGGATTTGAAAAATTAAATGTTGACTCCTGCATTTAAAAATTATCATATTATATTTCACTGGTTTAATAGTGGACCAGATATAAGCGGCAGTAAAAACTAAATAGAAATAGCCCCAATTATTTTAAGTTCACTACAGCAAAAACCCTTGCATCGTAACAGCTTTCAGAATCGTTGCTTGGTTTTGGTCTTTGCTTCAGCTTGTGAGGAACTGGTTTTGATCAAGCTTGAAGTTTATAAAATGTCACCACTATAAATGTATAATTCAATTAGAAATCAAAAATGATACATCGCTTTAAATTTTAAGAGTTTTTTAATATAAATATGTCTGATATAAATATATAATTCAATTAGAAATCAAAAATGATACATCGCTAAATTTTAAGAGTTTCTTAATATAAATATGTCTGATGTAAAGCGTATATTAAGGATTTCAGTACTAAGTCGAAGAAAGAAAAAAATGTGGGAGATTGTCTTCGCTCCTGAGGAGTTTCTATGACAACTCGTGTTGATAGAGATTAATCGTGAGGTCCTGGATCGAGCCCAAAACAAAATGGCGGTCGAACGGTCGTTTCGTGACTCTTGCACAAAATAACCTTGAAATGGCTTAAAATCACGACTWAAAAWCTTACATAGTGAAGYATATCAATGCMTTTGGCGAAAAGCGATGRARTGACATTTTAATGGGTTTGTAAATAGATAAACTACTTGCGTATTCCTTTGACAAGAAAGAAAACACCACTTTGTTGCTAGCAAACATGGACAAAAATAAAKTAAGGAAATCTGTACGTATCAAGATTATCAGTATGGGAAATGCAGAAACCGGCAAGGTTAGTTTAACAGAATCTTTGAATACTTTACTTGAAATTACATTGATTTGATTTTGTCTCTACAGAGCTGCCTGATTAAGAGATACTGCGAAAAGAGATTTGTTAGCAAGTACATGACAACAATAGGAATAGATTATGGAGTAACAAAGTAAGAAAACTACATTACTGACTTGTTATTGTTTTTAAATGGTTTTCTGTTTTATCTATTCTGAAACTTTGTGCCCACCTGGCCTAATACACTTTTAATAATTTATTATTATTATATTTCTCTATATAGGGTTGTAGTGAACGATAAAGATATCAAAGTTAATATATTTGACATGGCTGGTCATCCTGTATTCTATG